TTAAAAGGCGGGGCGTGAGGCGAGGCGTTTTACCTCTAACGAGGCGAGACATAAGCCCTGAGATATGGGGTGTAAGTCCCACGGATCTTTAAATTTTACTAATTTCAAGAATTTAAGATAGTATAAAATAAAAAATAATTATTAAAATTATATTAAAATCACAAAGTTATAACAAATATTATTTAAAATATTTATACATTATAATTCAACTCTGAATAATACGAAAAGTATGACATATATCATTATATGCAAATTAGCTGCAACGTCGTTACAACTCAAACATCAAAAGTAATGTATTCGATGCGAAATCTTATATGTATCTCTTAAGGAGTAACGAATGTTGAAAGAATTTTGATATTATAATTTGATATTTTTTAAATACTTCTTTTATTTAATGTGCTTTCTATTTGAAGAGAATTTACATAAAAATATTATTCACAATTTAAATGTGATTCTCTAGCATCATTTATTTTTAAGTTTCAACAAGTTAATAAAGTGACACATAATTCACCATACTATACCATGATAACTAAGTATTTGTAAATAGTTACCAGCTAATATTGAGTTATTAAATTAATAACTATTGTACCTCGTAAACGTAAACAAAAAATATTTAGGAAAATAATTATAAAAAAATTATGGACTATTATAAAATAAAGGCATAACAAAATTTAATAAATAAATACTTTTAAATGAAAGATTTATTTAAAATTTACTATCATAGCAGTCTTAGTGGATAACGTTAATAATTTTTATTTTAATTATGACATAAAATACTCTCAACTTAATGATTTATGATTAAGAAAAAAAGTAATTTTGAATAGTCAATGATTTATTAAGAAAATTTGAAGATTTACAAGGTTAGTTACACACAATTGCATAAAGTTCTATTAGGCGAGCCCAGTACGTCGGGTGTTGGGCGTGGCGAGGCGTAAGTCTCACGGAACAAGCCCCACACATAAGTCCAGGGGCGTTTTACGAGTGCTCCGCCCCAGAGCGAGCCCCGGGCGAGTCCCAATTCTGCTTTTTAAAATTAAGGTCTTGGTTTCCACTCACTTCATCTTCCGTCTGTCTCTGATTCCACGTGCCATTCTACCATTCGAGTATTTAATGTGAACCGATTTTACCCTATACATTCCTAAACAAACCATTGATTGAAATGAAAGGTGAAATGACTAACCACTAAGTGGCATTTGAGTTTGAGTATTGAATTTTTAAGCATATCTACAATCTAAAATCTAAATTATTTATATTATATTAATACGTAATTTGACCTATTATAACAAGTTAGTTAAAATTAATTTCTATTATCATAAAGATATTTTGTAAATTAAGGGCTGTTATATTCAAATTTACAAGAAAATATTAGACGTGGATTTTTGGTCATCTCGTCGCTTGGTTCCCCCTCGGGAGCTTATTCTCATCAAGGTTCTATATTTATAGTTTCTTTTGATTTTACCTTTTTTCCTTTTTCTTTCTTAGCTTATATTTTTCTAACGGAATAATAAGAAATAGAGATTGTGTGTGGGTGGGCGCCCAAGTTTAAAGTGTGGTTATCTCTTTTTTTTCGACATAGAGTATAGATATATAGTATATAAAAATTATGATTACCAAAAAAAAATTAATTTTAACCTATTATTGCAAACTTATACTGTAATAGATTTGTGATAAGAGCCTAAAGACTAAACCTGTCAAATAATCCTAAATTCGCGCGTTTATAAGCCGTTCTTATTACAAGTAACTTAATCACATGATGGCATAAGAATAATTATACGCTGTCAGTGTAAAAAAATAAAATAAAAGAAAATAATAAGATAACAAACAGCTAGCCAGTACGTATTCATAAAATTGGAAAACCAAAAAAAAAAAAAAATTCCACCGATCAATATACAAACGTCCGATTTTTAGCCAAAAACACATACAAAGGCTCATCCAACTTAATGCTGAAACAAAACAGCAAAAAGACAAAAAAAAAATGTAAATATTTACAGAAAATCATCAAAATCTAAACTCTCTGGAATTTCAAACTTCATGAAATTACTGCAATAACTCTCTTTCTCTTCTTCTGTGCTAAAATTCTGACTATTCTGATTGCTGCTGTTGTTTAGGGACTGAAATGTTGAATTTTCAGATGCATCAGACGCAGAATAATTACTATAGTATTGCAAAGGTAGCATCATATTTTTCTTGGAAATATTTGGCCATTCATGGACTGATGTAAGAAGAACATGAAAACATTTGGGGTGAAATTTGGAATTTCAGGAACTTGGTGGTGGAGTTGATTATTATATTGGAACATAGAGGTCTGATTATTCGGAATATTTGGCCCAAGAGAGTTTTGAATTTGTTGTCCATTCAATAAACTGGTTTTCCTTGAATTTTTTGCAAATAACAATTCTGGATTTTCAGTTTGGGATACTAAAAGGGTATTTGCAAGTTTTAATATTTCTGGATTTACAAGTGCTTGTAATCCAAGTAAACTGGAAAGGTTAAGCTGAGTTGAGTTGAAAAGCGATGATAAATCTAAGAAATCAGACGAGGTCTGTGAGTTACTGGATCAATGCCCATTCTCAATAGTCTTTTTCTTATGTGTGTGTTCCAGTAATTTTTGATTTCGTTATCTGTTCTTCCTGGCAAACGAGCCGCTATAGCTGACCACCTAAAAACAAACATAGAGATAAACATATTAGCTTTAGTTTAGGATCACGAATGTTGAAAACATAATTAAGTGAATACAATATGTTATCTCTAACATGTAAAAATTTTTTTAAATCAGTGGCAACATAATTCAACATAATATAGAAACAAACACAGTCCTTGAGCCGAGAGTCTTCCGAAACAACTTCTCTACCTTCACAAGGTAGAAGTAAGATCTACGTACATACTACCCTCCCAGTCCCACTTGTGGAATACACTGGATATATTATTATTATTATTATTATTATTATTATTATTAATTATTATTATATTATTAAATTATTATTATTGCTGTTGTTGTTTGTTGTACTAGAAAAATACAGGTAGTGGTTAAGTATTAACGTCACTTGGTCACGAAAATAATCATGTCTGCATGTGAGAGTCGTGTTTAAAACATGATAATTAGGTAAATTAAAGTGTATTCTCTCTTAGTTATCATGAGCAGTATTGAAAACATAATTAGGTAAATAAAATTATGTACTCTCGTTGACACGTTAAAACATTATTATAGATGAAAGTGGTAAAGATCTTTGAATAAATAAGGAGAAACTAATGAAGAAAAATTTAAAGAAAAAGTATGTAATAGATATGATCGTACTTGTTCCCAAGAAACATGTGAAGTTGGATAATAGTTTCTTCTTCTTCAAACGAAATCTTCCTCTCCTAAATATCAGGGTCTTAAATAATTCGTCCATCGAAGACGACAACTCTTGCCAACACCTTTGTAGTCCTGCAAAAGAATTTGATTGAAAATATTAGAACACTTATATATATAATTTTTATTAAGGTTGGAGCCATAGAAGCACGTACATCACATCCTGGGAGCAGCCCTTCTCCGGACTCTACGTGAATGCATGCATGATATATATTGGTGCAGCGGACTGCTTTTTGAGGAAAAGAGATGGAATTAACGAAAGAATGTTTATCTTCATGTCAAATAAAATTAAAAGTGGATGAATTATTTACCAGCATTTTTGGGGAGATTTCGCCAGTTTCCAGGGCCATTGAAGTTGAATATATTGAATGAGTTTTTTGATCTTCTCTGGAGTCATGGGACCTTTTTTCAGTCATTTTTATCACAACATGTGTTCTTCCCATAGCCTTTTATTTTTGTTTATAGGAATATTGATGTAGAAGATTTGTAAGGTTTGAAGAAATAAAAATAGTTTGTGGTAAGGAAAGAGATGGAGATTTTGGAAAACAATAAGTGAAGTTGTAGGTCCTTATGGAATATGAGCTATTTATAGAAAGAAAAAATATAAGAGAAATAAGTGCTTTAAACGATTGAAGTCAATAGTATTATATTTGTCAAGACCGAGTGAAAGCAAATAAAGAATTTTGGTAATGTGAAGTGTTATTTAAGATTAAATGTGTATAATGTTTTTTACATTGTTGCTGTATGTTTAACCTATTATATTAGCTAACTATTATTTATTAGATTTATTACTAATGTTTTCTTAGAGAAATTTAACTTGTATTTATATCTATAAATTGGAGCAAATTTTGTAAAATATTTTTTTACGTATTCACCAAATTCATAGATTGAACAATATCATATAACGAAAAAATAATTATTACATGTAATTATATAAGTAAGTGGAAATTAGTAACCTAAATAATAAATAATAGATATAATTAAATTTTTGCTCTTGATATTTATATATATATATATAATAATAATATATTATATACAATATATATATTAATATTTATGTATATTAAAATATAATCTATGTATAATAATTAAAAAAAATAAAAATGAACAATAACCGTCTTTTGTAATAAAGTCTATGTTAAAATCTTTGTCCATATCAAAAGGAAATTTTTCTTATTTTTTCAAACAGTAGACAGTTTTCGGATTTTTTATTGAAAAAAGAAATGTGAACTTTGGAGATTGGTTTAGGGACAGTGGTGGTTACTAATGTTTGACCTTTGACCACACAGTCTTCAAACAATGACTGAATTGTCGGTATGTTGGTAGATTTC